TGGGAGCTGGCGGGGGAGGCTGCCCTGTGCATAGCTGTCAGCCGCCAGGACTCCAGGGGGACATCACACAGCGATTCTCAGACCGACCCCCAGACCGTCGGACCCCCCACCCCCAGAGATCAGAACTGACATGACGGAGGCAGTAGGGGGAGCACTAACATCTTGTCCTCCACACAGAAAAGCCAGTGCCTCAGTTTACCCAGAGGACAGAGGACGCCTGGTGAGGACCCCACGCTGCCCACCTCCCTCCGTGGCAGCATCGCACGCCTGGGAATACGTCAGCGTCCGCGTGTCGGGGTGCAGGACTCACCTGGGGAATGGGGCCAAGCTAATGGGCGGCAGAGTCCCCTCAGGTATTGCCTGACTCAGAAGATGGACAGGTGGGCACCGTCTGTGCAGAGCTTGCCACGCTCCCTCTCCACCCCGCCAACGTCATGCTGTCTCCTGCCCCCACGTGCCCTCCTCTACGCCCCCGGCCTGTGGAGGAGCCCCCAGCACGGAGGCGACCTGCCCTCCTCACAGCCACTGAGCAACCACAGTGTGTGCGGGTCCACATGGCGATCGAACTACTCTGTGTCCCAAACGTCGATAGACTTGTGAACGTCTTACGTACGAGGGCGTTAAAAACACGCTTTGGAGCCCCAGGTGACGAGGTTCGGACGCGAAGGTTGCGTGTGCAGGTCTGCGATACTCCCCTCGAAATCGACCATGGAAGGTCAGGCTGCGGACACTGAGCCCCGGACGCGGCGTTCTCTCAGGGAGCATCGGGGGAGGCTCATCAGGAAGGCGAGGGAGTGCATGCAGGCTTGGGCAGCCCAGGGACACGCAGACACGGCTGGTTCTCACGGACAGCGGGTCACGGACCAGACACGCGGCAGCCCGCGCCTGTCTCCAATGTCCAATGTCAGGTTCAAAGGTGAAGTCTGGCCTGGCCGGCGTGGCTCAGCGGTTAAGCATCGACTTATGAATCAGGAGGTCAGGGTTCGATTCCCGGTCAGGACACAGGCCTGGGTTGTGGGCTCCATCCCCAGTGGGGGGCGTTGCAGGAGGCAGCCGATCCATGATTCTCTCTCATCACTGATGCTTCTATCTCTCTCTCCTCTCCCTCCCCCTCTCCCTCTCCCTCTCTCTCTGAAATCAATAATAAAATATGTATTTTTTTAAAAAGGTAAAGTCTGTTGATTTGTAGCGAAGCCATTACGCAGTTTCAAGGATTTTGAATTAAATTAGTCACGTGTTTCGACATCCCTGGCACTAGGTCAAAAACACACACTTAGCAAACATTCCCCCTCTATCTGAAGCTGTTGTTTGCTGGGCACCTACGGAGAAACCTTGCAGAGACTGTAGAACACGTAATAAAAACACCGAAATCTGAACTCTGAGGTTCGGTGCTGACGCCGTAACCAAGGACACACGTGCCGCCCACACTCCACCTCGAGGAGACAGCACCCGGGGCCCCGGCCCTGGTACCTGAGTGCTTGTTGGTTTTGTTCTGTCGGCTTTTGACCTGCTCCGTCCACAGCGTCGGGTAACGCGAGGCGATATCTAACAAAGCAAACGAAGGGACCGTCATTTTTAGTTCATCTTGGAAATACCGTCTCTCAAAGACCTCAGCAGGTAGCCTAAGAGCCAAAACATCAATATAATGAGTGCATAGTGTGCGTCTTTAAAAAGAGCTATGAGATAACTCTGTGCACGCGACAGCAAGAAACAATCGTGTGCATTTAAATTTTCAGAATATTTTCTTCTCTCTTTATCCAAAAGTATAAAGAAACATCGGAAGGACCCAGACAGGCCTCACGTGGCCGACGTGGGCTTTCCCCGAACCGTCCTGGGAGGCCAGGCGGACGTGCACACGGCGTGTGGGTCACACTCAGCGGAAAGGTTCAACACAAAGTGAGGCGTGATTCCTGCGCAAAGCGTGTTGGGAGCCGTGTTGTGGGCACTTGGCTAACAGGCAGAAAGGAGTATTTAAAGGCTGGTCAGTCACGTCATGGCCTGAGACCCTCCCGGAAGCAGACCGGCCAGGTCCAGCCCCGCTTTGCCAGCACTGGCCTCATGACCTCGGACAAGTCCCCTGTGTTCCCGCCTGTGACACGGGATTCTGGGGGTTGAGGGGGCCATGCCTCAGGGCACACGGGGAGCCCATAGGCTATGCCCACGTTGGTTGTTATTATTACTTACTTAAGCTATTGTTTGCACAGCACAGTGCAATTCCACCTTCACTCTCAGATTCATTTACGCGAGTCCCTTATATTGTCTTCACACCCTGACCCTTTGACCTGAAGATCTGGGGCGCCCGGCAAACACCCTAGACAGCGCAGGAGCAGCCGAGAGTGGGAAGCCCAGCTCCACGTGACGACAGGTGCAGTGTCCCCGAGACGCCTCCTGGGACGTCACGGAGCGTGTCCGGGCCCCCCAGGGCGTGAACACAACGCGGGAGGTGTGACACGT